CAAATTTTGGAACAAAGAAAACCACCACTTTTCATAAAAACAATGTGGGTTTTTTTACAAACGGTATAACGCATAAACCAGAAGACAAAAATACTGAATTTGCCACTTACAAAAGTTCCAAAATCTTAGTATACAGGAAAAAACAGACTCATATTATCCTGCAAAAAACGTCGAAAAGAATTCGAACGTCAAGCTGATAACCCTGAACACAATGGTACAGAAACTTCTCTAATTAAGGACTAGTGCAAACGATTCACGATATCCGATAACTCCTAAGAAGCCTGGGATAGAAAAAAATTGTAAGCCTTCTGTCCCATTAAACCTAAACTAAAATTTTACAAGTTAAACTTCTTATAACAGAAAAAAAACCCAGAAAAATGCCTGAATTGTGTTTCCAGTTTAGACTTCTGTAAAATAACGCAAGGAACCATCCAAGTTTCTTTGAAAAAGATACTAGAACACAAATCATAAATCAAGAAATAATAACAAAAACATAGTCGAACACCGTCAAAGCTAAGGCTGCAAATGAAAAGAAGAATACAACGGCATACGTTATATCATGATCAAAACGCTAAATAGTAACTCCGATAGAGTCTCCCAAAAGAAGATGAATAGACCGTATATGCTTTCCAGCGATCATGACCAAACCAATATCGCGAAACTCAGATTCACCCTTCCAACTCTCCTGAAATAAATTTCAGATGACAGCCAAAGAAACAATATTCCGTTGTTGAAAAGATTTTTTTTTTTCTTTCTAAATCTATGCCTTTGAAGAAAATCAGTTATTTTATATCCATGTTCAGGGGATATTTTTATCAAGCAAAGTGCAAAAAAGCGATGTTTTGTAATACACTTCATTTAGAGCAAACATATGCTAATTCATCACCTTACATCGACTCAAAATAACATTTGGGGCATTATCAGTACATACAAATCTACCAACAATGATTCGATTGTCAGTCAACTCAATCTGCAGAATTTTTCCAAGCCATCCCTTCAATCGATTTTCTTCACTCTTTTCAGCCATCAAAATTTAACAAAAAGCACCATAATAAATAATCGACAACAAGCAGCTATAAAAGCAGTTAATACATTCGACAAAGAAATAAGGAGAAATTACAAGTTAAATCTTCGAACAAACTCGACTGTTCAAATACTATCGAAGAGAGCAATAAAAGAAATTAATGCACAGTTATTAGCGAATTAAACTTGAACGAATAAGTAACAATGTATCAACCGGCCTGAAGTGCAACAACAAAATATTTACTGCGCCCCAAACGGTCGGGTAAGAAAACTTCCTGCGATAGCTAATGCCCACAGCAGTAAAACAAACTGGAGTTTTGGCTTATTTCCAAAAAGACGTAAGTTTCATCCTATAAATTTTACTAAATGCAGTTAGATGCAGCAAAATATTAATTATCTTTAGAAACTTAACGTAATTACTAGGATATTGAAACACTGTCACTTCTGTCCTTTTTATGTGTTGGAGACCGCTAAAGCTAAAAGACGGGCAGTTTTCTAACCTTAATTTGTTCTCAAAGTGCCTCTGAAATGTTGCAGAAACCATTTATAAATCCTTGTATCAGATTAAAGACAGTGATTCATGCAACACTGCTACTGACGACATTCAGTTCAACCCATTTTGCGGGTTAAACGCTAAAACTTTGGATTCATAGCCGGTCTTCGCCAGATCTGCTACCGTTTTTGAACTAGAAAAAAATTCATATACAGCCCTTGGGACTTCAGAAGAAATGCACCTCTGGAGGATTTTGAGGGTGAAAATTGAGCTTTTAAATAACTTTTATCATCTATTCTGAGGGTGAAAGCCATTTAAGGTACAAAGAAATACCGACCAAAAGAAAGTGTCACTTTGTTTTTTGCCTTTTGTCTAAGTTTCGTAGCAGCCAAAGATTGATTTCTTAAATCACTTTTTATTGGTGGAAAATTTAAAAAATCATACAATAAATGCGTTTTTAAGACTTGGGTATTAATCAACCTCTGAACTCTTGTCACTAGTGTAGATCTTCATATTCCAAATTATTTCCCCTAAGTAACTGCAAAAATTGCTTAAAGTATGCTCTATGTAAACTCATAAACAGAGAGTATCACACGTTAGTAAGCGACAGCAGCTGATCTCTCAAAGCTGAACCAACAAGAAAGTTCGATAAAGACAGGAGGTGAGAATGCTATTATTTTAATAGTATCTTTTACAAATTCTATTTACATAGAATTGGCCTTTTCTTTTTCAGTGAAACTGACTGATCACCGGAGATGGGTTTTTGAAAGGTTTTGATG